CGTGTACGCAATACCGTGACGCATCTTATAACACAGTCTGGCCATGTTACCAAGCACAACATTAAGCCAACCATGCTATGACACAACACGACCTATGCTATAACACAAAACACAGACTGTGTTGTAGCGCTACTATACTATAACATGACCATGATATGTACGTCGATGCCAGTGGCACGCTGCAGCAGTCTTGTCGACGACCTGTTCCGTGGCAATCTTCAACACACGAGGCTGTCACGCCCAGCCCTGTCCTGCTGCGCTCATCAAGTAGCATGTTTGACGTCCTAGACGACCAGAGCTCATCCAGCATGACATACACGATGGCTGAGGTCGTGCACACCTGGAAGTCTAAGCAGGTTATGACGGGGTTTCTCTTACAGGGGTCTCGAACAGCTTCGCCTGCTTTCTGCCCATGACTTCTCTCTCTCTCTGCTCTCTCTCCTTCTCATCTCTATCTCTCTCCATCTCTCTCTCTCTCTCTCTCTCTCTCGCTCTCGTCGCTCTCTCTCGCTACTCGTCTTCGCTGCTCTCTCCTCTCGTCGGCTCGGTGTCCTCTCTATCTCTCTCTCTGCTCTCTTTCTCTCTCTCTCATCGTCTCTCTCTCTTTTCTCGTCTCTCATCGCTCTAGTCCTCCTCCTCTCCCCTCTCTCTCTCGCTCTCTATGTATATATCTCTCTCCTTCCAGCCGTGATTGACCGTACATTCGTATATTGTCTCTAACCTTCCCCCGCTCTCTCTTCCTCTCGTCTGTCTGTGTGCGCAAGCCTGGCCACTACGCTTCTGGGTGAACCTCATCAAGAACCCAAACTTTGTGTTCGACGTCAACAAGTCGAACATCGTCGACTCGTGTCTGTCCGTCGTCGCGCAGACCTTCATGACTCCTGCTCCCGCCACGTTCCGATGCAGAAGCTTGGCAGGACTCGGCCCGCCAGGCAAGTAGCCTGCTCTACGCCAAGGACTATAGCGCGCGCTACACAGCAGCTGTGGTCGGCAGTGAGTACGCACGGCACGCACTGCACGCATTGTACGCACGGTCGACGTGTCACCACGCACGCACGCGCGCGCGACGTCCGCGAGCGCAGACAAGCACGTGCTGGCGCAGGCACGCTAACAAGCAGCTAGTGTCGCAGTGAGTACGCACAACGCGACGCGGCCGGCAGCATGCACGCACGCCACGCACGACGCACGCCGCGCACGGCGACGCACGCACGCAGCGTGTCTTCACACGTCGGGGACGGCGGACCGGCTACAAGCAGTGCTAGTGTCCGCAGTGAGTACGCACGCACGCATTGCATGTACGGCAGCGCAGCACGCGATGTACGCACGGCACGCACGCACTGCATGCTACAAGCACTTAGTGTCGCAGTGAGTAAGCGGCACGCACCCGCACGCACGCACGCACGCACGCACGTGGACACGGCGCCACACGCACGCACGGGCATGCTACAAGCAGCTAGCTGTCGCAGTGAGTACGCACGGGCGGACGCACGCACGCACAGCGCAGCACGCACGCCCGCAAGCACGCACCGCATGCTACAAGCAGCTAAGTGTCGCAGTGGAGTACGACGCTTGCACTACGCACGACACGCTTCACGTCCCGGCAGCCGCACGCATTGTACGGCACGCCCCCAACGCACGCCAGCGCAAGCACGCATGTCTACAAGCAGCTAGTGTCGCAGTGATACGCACGCACACGCACGCCAACGCCATGCACGACGCACGCTACGCACAGCACACGTGCACGCACGCATTGCTACAAGCACTAGTGTCGCCAGTGATACGCCGCACGCAAACCGCACGCACGCACGACGCACCGCACGCATGTACGCACTGCATGTCTCAGCAGCTAAGTGTCGGCAAGTGGAGTAACGCACGCACGACGCAGCGCACGGCAAGCCACGCCCGCACGCCACGCACGGCACGCACGCACGCACGCACGCACGCACGCACGCACGCTACAAGCAGCTAGTGTCGCAGTGAGTACGCACGCACGGGCACGCACGCACGCAGCGCAGCGCACCACGCATGTACGCACGCTACTAAGCAGCTAGTGACGCAGTAAGCTACCGCACACGAACATGCACACGGCACATGGCAGGACACCTAATTCTACAGGCTAGCTGGTGTGTGCATGGTAATCACATACGACTGGTATCACAGAACTCCCTTTGATCATGCATCACGCGTGCAGGTATTACTCTGAGATGAAGAAGGAGGCGGCGGTCAGCGATCAGGACATGAACGCGATGCTGGCCGAGGAGTCACGGCTTCACGGGTCAGAGTTCAACGCGGAGGTCGCGCTCTCTCAGCTCTACAAGTATGCAGAGGCCTACTACGCAGGTGTGTGGAAGGAGGGAGGCGGGGGTGAGGGAGTGGTGAGGGGAGGGGGTGAGGGGAGGGGGTGGGGGGAGGAGGCTGGGGTGAGGGGGAGTGGGTGATGGGGCGAGGGGTGTGAGGGAGTTGAGAGGCTGGGTGGGGGAGTGGGTGAGGGGGAGGGTGAGGGGGGAGGGAGGCTGGTGAGGCGGAGGGAGCGGGCGGTGAGGGGAGGGGGTGAGGGGGAGGGAGGGCAGGGGTGAGGGGGGGAGGTGGGGGTGAGGGAGGAGGGCTGGGTGAGGGGGGAGGGAGGCGGGGCGTGAGGGGGAGGGAGGCTGGGGTGAGGGAGGGGGCTGGGTGATGGGGGAGGAAGCCGGGGTGAGGGGAGGCAGGGCCCCAAGCCCCCCCGCCCCCCCGCCCCCTGGGGTGAGGGGAGGAGGCTGAGTGATAGGGGGAAAGGAGGCTGGGTGAGGCGGGAGGGAGGCGGTGGAAAGGAAGGGAGGCGGGTGTTGAGGGGGACGGAGGCAGGTGGAGGATAGGAGGGAGGGAGGTGGATGACATAGAACTTTTGTTCTTTTTTTTAAATACTTATCAATCAATTCTTGTTAACTATTAATATTGTTAATATTGTTATATTAATGATAGTATTAGTTATTATTATTGTTAAAGCTAACCTTCCTTATTGTCAACCCAACCTTCTTTATTGTCAAGCTAACCTTCCTTATTGTCAAGCTAACCTTCCTTATTGTCAACTCAACCTTGCCTGTTGTCAACCCAACCTTCCTTATTGTCAACCCAACCTTCCTTATTGTCAACTCAACCTTCCTTATTGTCAACTCAACCTTGCTTGTTGTCAACCCAACCTTGCTTGTTGTCAACCCAACCTGTTGTGTACAGCGTCTCACCTTGGATTCCTTGAAGTAGTATCCGCTCTCGTATACCTCTCTCGCTAGCCCGAAGTCCGACACCTTGGCGATCATGCCTTCACTCAGCAGTACGTTCCTAGCCGCCAGGTCCCTGTGTATACACTAGAAGAGAGATCCATGCGTTATCTAGATGGACGCAGCGTTGTTGGTGCGGTGACAGCGGTGGCTGTTAGACGACGCAATTCGACGGCGTCGGAGCCAGTCTAGAAGTTTCTAATAATAACAGCTCGCTTTTAAAAGCACGCGCACGCTATAGAGATTTAAAGGTTCATGGGGGGATATATTAGACCAATTCTTTTACAGGTTTCTTTGCAATAGCGGCACACAGCAAGCTGTCGACGCACAGCAGAAAATATCCCATTTCCTGCGCACAGTACATAAACTAAAACGCACTCATGGAGTGCGAATCCTCCGCACACGCGATCACTACACCTGTGATATTTTGTAGGCTATCTGCCTGTGCTTTTTGTTTTTGGATGTTTACGTGCATGTATGTATGATATTCATTGTGGGATGTCATTTATTTATGGATGTCTTTTTGCTCGCTGGATTTGTTAATTCTAATAGAACAGAATTGCACACTGTAATACATGTAATGTAACTTGCAAAGCAGATATATTGATTCATGTTTAATGCACATTTAACTACATGTATATGAACAAGGAAGAATGTTAACCTCTAAATACATTGTACAAGCAATTAAAACAATGAATGACGCTGCACTACGTGCGGAGGATAATGAGAAACGGCATTATAGTCAGTAACCGCCCCCTCGCCCTGGAGCAAACACGCGTCCGGACCATAGAAACAATATAGAGAGAATCTATAAAGAATCTATATAGAGATAATATCTATATTATTTCTATGGTCCGGACAGTTAACTCCAGATAATTATCTCTCATGTCATTCACACCCGGACAATCACACCCGGACTGACACCTACCGTCTCCTCCCCTCTCCCCTTCTCCTCCCCTTCCCCCTCCCCTCTCCCCTCTCCTCTCCCCTCTCCCCTTCTCCTCCCCTCTCCCCTTCTCCTCTCCTTTCCCTTTCCTCTCCCCTTCTCCTTCCGTCTCCCCTTCCCCTTCCCTCGCACTTTCTTCCGAATCACCCTCGCGTACACAATTCCCTCTCTCTCGCTCTTCCCTACCCCATCTCGCCTCCCTCTCCCTCTCCATCTCCCTCTCCCTCTCCCTCTCCCTCTCCCTCTCCCTCTCCATCTCCCTCTCCCTCCCGCTCCCGCTCTTCCCTACACGCGCGTACCTTCATTTTAGCGAGGTGGTTCATGCCTTTGGCAATCTGCCAGGCGATCTGTAGCGCCTCTCGTTCCGGTAGCGCCCCCTGTCCGCGTTCGGGACCGGGCGCCTTGATCTCTGCGCATCCCCAGCGTCCTACGTTCATATAGGCGCGGTCGTGCTCCAGCGTCGGGTTTCGGTACTTCAGGTAACTTAGCAGGTCACCGTTCTCGGCGTATTGAATGATGAGCAGCATCTTGTTCACTGTTGGGCAGAGAGATAGAGATAGAGAATCTCTTTGATTTGCTTTACTTCGATTTGTTCATTTAGGTAATTGTCAATGAATACATTGCAAACAGTATGTCAACAAACCAATTATATTAAACTTTTACGGCTCTATGGCGTCTCTTAATCTTCCGCTTCTCTTCTCTTCTATCTTCTCTCTTTTATATATTATTATGTATATATAAAATACTATATTCTCTATATTATATTTTTATTCTCTTGCTTCTGTTACCGTACAACTTACAGATGGTCCGGACAGTCTTTTGGCATAGCCATCCGGTAACCGCTCTTCAGCATTTCCAGCAAGCTGTTGATGGGCACCCCGGGGTAGGGGCTAGCACCCATGGTGGTGATCTCCCAGAGCACGACCCCGTAGCTCCACACATCGCTCTTCATCGTGTACTGTCCGCACGTCAGCGCCTCTGGTGGCATCCACTTGAAGGGCAGGCGGCCCTGTAAGATCAAAGATCAGAGGTCAGAGGTTAAAAAGGTGCGAGGTCAAAGATCAGAGGTCAGAGGTCAGGTGTCAAAGGTCCGACGCTTGGGCAGAAGCGAAAGAGGTGTGGTTTTGAAGCATAACACAGTAAGTGTTCGGAAAAAACCAAGCTAATATATCTGCAAGATCATATTCGCGTGAAGCTGACTGTTTATTGAAGAATTATCAGCTTTATAACTTTGTTCGTCATATTATATTTTTCGTATAATAATATTATAGTCGTCTTTATAATTATTTTGTTCGTCATCAACCTACATTTAATTTGCTCTCTACCCAACCTTGCTTGTTATCAACCTAGCCTTGCTTATCGTAAACCTAACCTTCCTTATTGTCAACCCAACCTTCCTTATTGTCAACTCAACCTTCCTTATTGTCAAGCTAACCTTCCTTATTGTCAAGCTAACCTTCCTTATTGTCAACCCAACCTTCCTTATTGTCAACTCAACCTTCCTTATTGTCAAGCTAACCTNGTGAATTAAAATTGTTCATATTTGGCAGTCATCTGATTCTGGGTCCAAGTTGTGCTAGCCTACTTCGTCCAGACACACCTAGAGTGGGTGAAACAGCGCTGGCTTAAGATTGAACATCAGTCTAGAGAGGAGCATTTAACCGATGTATGTTATCTCACCCAGTGTTAATGGTCTGCCTGCTAGTCAACACAGTGTTTTTTTGTGTGTTTAGCTGTGGAGATCACACTTTCAATTTTTTAGATGCTGTAATATCATGTTTCAATTTGCAAATAATTGTACCTTTTAAAATATGTACCTTTAGCTAAATTGTACCTTTATTATTTGCTTTAACTATAACCTATCTATCTACCTTGCACTTACTATATATCTATTTCAGAGGTCACAGCAACTAAGAAGGCCTATTTGAGAAGGGTTCCTCCTTTGGACACTTGACTTCCTGAACGTTCTGGTCCAGTTGTGGAAACAGAAATGATTAAGCACATGGCCTATATGTTGCTCGACTGCAGATCACTTAACACTACAGGCAATAATATTCTGTATATGTTAAATAATTGCCTTTTAATATTACATTATATTTGTCTTCCGTTGTGCGTATGCATACTTTACTGGCAGAAATGTGTTTATTAGTAACTAATTTATGTGAGCGATGCTAGCGTTGTTAGGAGAGGTTTTTCACGATGTACTGTGTTGTAGCAGTCATGATTTAGTCGTGTTTTTGCTTTCTGGAACTAGAACGCTTAGGGGCAAAGTTATTTGCGTGAAAGATGTATGTTGTGTATGTGTTGTTGTGTAGCTTTTCTGACATCTATCAATGTCGCCTTTCTATAAACCATTTCTTAGTTATCGAGGATCATTTGGGATTAGGTAAGTCGCCCGGCTCTGCGAATATTTAAGATACGGTCTGCATGGAGTTTATTTTTAAGGTTTTAATCGGCAAATGGTGATGTAGTAGTAAGGTTGGTGGACTATTTAGGATGTGCGTTAAAGATGTAAAAATTTTATTTTTATATATATATGATAGCTCATCTTCACCGACGTTCTTGAGAGGTTAGCATAAACAAGCTAAATATGGGCTAGTGTTATGTATATCTATGATATTTATTGCGCAGGCATAATAATTTGTATGTTTGACTTCCGCCGTTGCGATGCAATTTTTCTGCCAGCAAGCAGCTTTTCCCCTCGCTGGCTTGATTCACTTGCGTCTACTAGCACCTGACCCTGTGTGTTGACATGTGAAACAAGCTGTGTATGCAGAGATACTTCCTTATGCTTAGGGGCACACGATGCGTATTTTATGCCCGATCGACGGTCGATTAAATGCCGATCTAGTGTCGAAGGGGACACACGTTAGCGAATTTAATCGCCCGATTTTAACCGTCAATCATATGCCAACAACACGTCGATTGGTTTAGAAAATCGAATCGGGCGACAAAATACCCGGACCGGGGCACACGATGCGAATTTTGCAGTAAATAATCGCGGCGATATATGCGCCGAAATATTAACATTTTGGATACGGGCGATTCGTCGGTGCGATTAAACAGGAAGCATTACACACGTCGACGTGACGGCACAGGTGCAAATTTTTCGACGATTTTTAAATTGACGGCGATCGGGCGATAAGAATGCTCGTGTGGCCTACCTTCTTGTAGCGTTATCATTCGCTCTGCAGAACGTAATTTCGGTATTCATGGTGTGTAATATTTGCTGAGTAAGGTCGTTCTTTACAGCGTGGTGTGCGTTGAGAAAAGCATGAAATCGACTTGGGGAGAATGTAATAATGTTTTTTATGTTTCTTGAGAGTTGTGAAATGCTGTCCTTTTTATTTTCGCTTGAGAATGGTGAGCGGGTGCAATTTTCTGGCTTTTCATCGACGCTTGGTTTGTAGTTGTTGTTCCTTGCTTTTACCTATCGTGTATTTTTTTAAAGGCGGTTTATATTATATGTTTTAGTTTAACTTCCTATTGTTGGTAATATCATTTATTTAATAAATATTAATGGCATATATGGTTACCACACAGGCGTGCAAATGAGTTGAGTAATTTTGTAATTTTTCAGCATTTGAAATAATTTGTATATGGACTAAGATCTGATAATTAATTATTTATGCAATATTTGCATAATGCGAAACCTTAATCACTGTTTCACATCCGTAATAACAGTCGCCTTACTAATTTATCGGTATTACATAGTAGCGTATGAGCAATACTGTCATCTTGAAAAGTCTGCGTAAGTATTTCGCGGTCTGTTGACGAATTTTTATTGTAGCTGTTTAGTACAGCTAAGGGTGTTATTGTGTATTACTCACTCAAATTTGAAACATTTTGAAGTTTTATCGGTGTAAAAATCAGGATTTGGCCAAAGGGCACGTTAGTTTAGCGTACGGAAGTTTTATGGCGTTGAGTGCTTATGTCTGACGTTTTCGCTGGTTATTTTTGCTAGTAAGAGCGTTTCGCCTTTCTGTGAACTTGTGCGTCAGAGTATCGGAGGCTACAATCTTTACCTCTTTTAAATATGATCTATTGTTCTTCTTTACCGTTAAGTTATGTACCTGTGTCAATTTTTTTATTTAAGGGCCGTTTACGACTTATTCTTGTTTGTATTGATCCGTGGTGATCTTCTTCTCTGTCTCGGGAGATTATTGTATGCTTGTCAGACAGTTAAGCATTTTATTACATTTACTTGTAAGTAGATATTTTCGGAGGTGTATCAATTAGTTCAAGAGCAAATTGGTTGAAAAATCTATTCAGTAATTTCTGTGAGCATTTATTTTGTTCCATTAGTATAGTATGCATGTAATGTGGCAGTTCCTGATAACGTGTTGGTAAACTATGAACAACTAGTGTCCTCACGCCATGGGGCGTTAGATAGCGGGGGGAGATGGCGGGGATGCTCCCCGCACTTATTGCGTGGGGGGGATGTCTGCGTGTACATCCCCCTTCTTTAGGAGAAATGGGGATTCAAATTTTTGTGTCGGGGAGGCCGCCATACCCGGCTGTTTCTTACCACCTCTCAATCCTGACATTGGCACTGTCGCGAGCCGTAAAAATTGAGCCCCCCCCACTTCAACATCGTTCGCGGAGCCTGTAGAGGTACTTGCTAACAAAGTTATGATTAGATATTGTACGGATTCAAAAGTCAAATTTGAGTTCATCTGAGCGGCGTAGATAGCGGGGGGGATGGTGATATCCCATCTAACTTCATTACTTATTGAGGTGGGGTGGCTTTCATCACCCCCTACTTTCAGGAAGAAAATGGGGAAAAATTTAATATTTTACAGACAATAAATACTGGATATTTACTACAAATCCGTCATCGCTATTCATACTCTCCTAATGTATTATTACAGAAATGGAACGTGACATACATCTACTGTAAAATGGCTGTAATTCGTTCCAAGAATGACATTATTTTACTGAAACTCAGACGGTTAATTTTGGACGCATTCCCCATATACGATTTTTTTTTCAAAATCCCCAAATCACGTCTTATCACTGCTCACGAAAGTTAAATCCTTGCTTTATTCAAAATTAGAATAGACCTATTGAGAGTTGCATGGGATATTGAATTTTCAGGGGGTTGAATGGGAAAATTAAATTTCATCTCACTTTTTGGGAGGGGGGATGAGGGTGCTGTGAGACCCGACCGGAAGTATATTCCCGATTTTGTATAAGGGATGAAAATATGCACTATTTGGTTCAAATCTGGTTGTTTTTCTCATATTCTTTTGCAGTTTTAAGGTTCTCACTTCTCAGTAAAATATACGTTCTATCAAAATTTCAGGGGGAGATGATTCCAGTGCTGTAGTTGTCAACGGGGGGTCGGTAGCACAGGGGGCGGTCGCCCCCCTCTAGAATTTTCAGGGTAAAGGTATTTTAGCCTAGGTAAGTCTGCACTGGCAACCCCAGTGAGAACATGTACATGTATAGCACAGATTTGGTAGTAAGCATTTTAGTCTTTGGTGTCCCCAAAGGTAAAAATACTCAATATTTGAGGGGGGCTAAATATAACTCAACAGTGATATTATTGTGATGAAGATTGTTTAATAGTGCTGCCTCAGGAATTTGCATCGAAGAGGTGTTACTTTCAACAAAATTTCCGGGGGAGGCTAAACAGGAAGGGGACACCCCCTAAAGGAGGAAAAATTCTGATATTCTATGATAAAGATGTCCAAAATTGATTGCTTTTAGATTGCAACTTTTTAACAATTCCACACAGTGCGCGCTTCGTGCCCTTGAGCTCGCATGATTCGCCCCCCTCCCAGAATTCACTTCTAGATCCGCCACTGGTTGTGTGTGGGGGGGGGGGTGTTATTAAACCTCTGGGATCAAAGAAAAAAATTACCCTCGAATTCACAAAATTGCACTTACAATATCAATTTTTTTAAATTACCTCAAAAACGACCATCTTGAAGGTTCTAAATTGCTAAAATCCAAGAGCTTCCGGGGGCTCCGCCCCCTGCACCCCGCCAGGGCCCCTAGGGCGGG